AGGTTGGTGGGGTGGTACGTGAGGACGAGGGGGATTCTTTTTTGGTTTTTATTGCGTGGACGGGGTGTGAGGGATGAGGTGCGGGAGATGTGGGAGACACGGTTGAGGGCGTTCTCGACCACCGAGGAGGGGAAGTTACGGTCCTTGAAAAATGAGGACAACTGAGATGTACGGGAGTGGAATGCCTCATCCTGGGAGCAGATGCGGCGGAGGCGAAGGAATTGGGAATAGGGGATAGCATTTTTGCAGGAAGGTGGGTGGGAGGAGGAGTATTCTAGGTAGCTGTGGGAGTCGGTGGGCTTGAAATGAATATCGGTTTCTAGGTGGTTGCCCGATATGGAGACAGAGAGGTCCAGGAAGGGGAGAGAGGTGTTAGAGATGGTCCAGGTAAACTTAAGGTTGGGGTGGAAGGTGTTAGTGAAGTGTATGAACTGTTCGAGCTCCTCGTGGGAGCACGAGGCGGCGCCGATACAGTCATCAATGTAACGGAGGAAGAGGTGGGGTTTAGGGCCGGTGTAGGTACGGAAGAGGGATGGACTGGAAGAAACTGGGAGAACGTACCTTCAACCTTTCAAGAAGTCGAGTGTGAAGAAACGTTGTCAAGATAGCTGTGAGAGTAGGTGTGCTTACTGAAGCTATATCAATATTGTTTACTTGTAATGCTTTTATAAGTATCTCCCTGTTACTCCCACATGCAGTGAATGGTGCTGCTTTGACCAATTTCTCCTTGTTCTTTTGTTAAGCTCTCAAAAATTGCCAGTGAGATCTACAGAACATATCTGTCCAGCAACTCACTCTGTCCCATCAACATCGATAAACAGGCACAACTGGAGGAGGATGTTCTCAATGATCCCACATTGGATATGTTCAAAGCACAACAGCTTCAGGTACCATCATCCAGTCTTTGTCCCATTCCATCTTACGACCATGTTAAATTGTTGTTATCTCTGCTGTCAGCTCCCATCCTTGAGATCCAATATCTACAGGACGGGTTCATTTCAGAAATCTATACTGAGCTCTAGGCCCAGTAGTTGGGAAGATCAGTGCTGATGGTGACCCAAGGAATCTGCAGATGGATATAGTCAAGTTAAGCAAATGGGTAACAATTTGGCAGATGGAATATAATATGGGAAAGTGTGAGGTTATGCACTTTGGCTGGAAGAACAGAGAAGCTGGATGTTATTTAAATAGAGAAAGACTGCAGAAAGTTACAAACCAAAGAGATTTGGCAGTCCTTGTGCATAAATCACAAAATGCTAGCATCCAAATTCAAAAGGTATTAGGGAAGGCAAATGGACTATCAACTTTTATTTCAAAGGGAATAGAGTTTAAAAATAAGGTGGCCTTGAAAACTGTGAAAAGCACCAGTCAAACCTTATGGAACAGTTTTGGGCCCATTTGATAAAGAAAGGTATATTGGCATTGCAGGCAGTTCAAAGTAGAATCACTTGGTTGATTGGGCTCCGCAAGGATTGTCTTTCTTTTTCTTTCCAACTCAGAAGTGTTATCACACACAGCTGTTGAGGACATGTTGAATAGGTTGACCCTGTGGTCATTAGAGTTAAAAAATGAGAGGCAACTTTATTGAAACATACAAGATTCTCAGAAGACTTGACAGGGAAGATGAAAAGTGATTGTTTCCCCTTGTGGAAGAGTTTAAGGCCAGAGGGCACAATCTCAGAGAAAGGGGTCGCACTTTTTAAAAAATTTATTCATTTTGTGGGATAAGAGCATCGCTGGCTAGGCCAGCATTTATTGCCCATCCCTAACTGCCCCTTGAGAAGGTGGTGGTGAGCTGCCTTCTTGAATCACTGCAGTCCACCTGCTGTAGGTTGACCCACAATGCCATTAGGGAGGGAATTCCAGAATTTTGACCCAGGGGCAATGAAGGAACAATAATATATTTCCAAGTCAGGGTGGTGAGTAGCTTGGAGGGGAACTTGAAGGTGGTGTTGTTCCCATATATCAACTGCCGTTGTCCTTCTGGATGGAAGTCGTTGTGGGCTTGGAAGCTGCTCTCTGAGCATCTTTGGTGAATTTCTGCAGTGCATTTTGTAGATAGTGCACTCTGCTGCTACTGAGGTGGAGGGAGTAGATGCTTGTGGATGGAATGCCAGTCAAATGGGCAGGTTTGTCCTGGATGGTGTTAAAACAGAAAAAAAGAGGAACTTATTCTCTCAGAAAGTAGTGAATCTGTGGAATACATTACCACAGAGGGCTGTTGAGGCTCAGTCATTAAGTATATTCGAAACAAGAGAGACAGATTTTAATCAGAAAGGGAATCGAGGGTTATGGGGAGGAGACAGCAAAGTGGAGTTGAGGCTTAGCCAAAACTGTTCAAAATATTCCAGGTTTGATTTAATTAGTGCTTTATTTTGATTTAGCAAGACTTCCGTATTTTTATACTCCATTCCCTTTGAAGTAATGACCAACATTGCATTTGTGATTCATGCTTCTTTAGGGATCTATCTGACTAATCTCATCCCACTGCTTTTTCCCCATGGATGGGTGAGATTTTCTTCTTCAAAGACTCATCGAATTCCCATTGAAAGTTTTAATTGAATCTGCTTCAAGTACCTTTTCAGACAATGGATCGTGTACGCCTTTTCTCATTGTGCCTGTTTCTTACGCTAATTACCATAAACCTCATTTCAGTGAAATTTGTGACATTGGAAACAGTTTTTTGTCATTTATTGCATAAAAGTCAAATGATTTTCTATCCTATCTCTTCTTAACCTTCTCTAACAACAGACTACCTGTGTCTATCCTCTGCAAGGTCTCTGAGAGCTATCACCCAGAATTTAATACAATATTCTTGCTAAAGGCCAAACGAGCGTCTAGTAAACAGTTAAACATAACATAGATAGTAGGAACTGCAACGTCAGCCTTCCTGCTCCTATGATGCTGCTTGGCCTGCTGTGTTCATCCAGCTCTACACCTTGTTATCTTAGTTAAACATAACATCCTCACTTTTGGACTTCATGTCACTATTATTAACAAAGCCCAGGATCCTGAATGCTTTTTTTTATTAAACAGTCTGCTCAATATCTCCCCACTGTTAAAAGATTTGCCGCACATCCTTGCAAGTCCTTCTATTCCTGTACTCCTCTTAAGATTGTATCATTTTATTGCCTGTCCTCATTCCTGCTATAAAGATGTATCACTGCACGCTTACCTACTTTCAGTTTCCTATGCTCCACAGCTGCCCATTTCACCAATTTAAGTTCTTCTAAAGTCTGCTACCGACCACAACATTTGCTACATTATCAAGTTCCATCCCATCTGCAAACTCTGAAATCATTCAGTTTCTCCAAGTCTACCTAGTATCGAAAGGAGCAGTTGTCTTATACTGACCTCTGTGATTGTTTTGTATTTCACTGTAATCCAAAACAAAACAGCCACTGCTCTTTAGTTTCAGTCTCTCTGTGCATTTCCTATATATTCTGGCACTCCCCCTTTCAGTATTGTGCACTTTATCTTTGCAGACAGGACTGTTGTGCAGCATTTCATCAAATGTATTCTGAAAGTCTATACGCATGACTTCAGTCATGCTGTCCTCCATAATGCTCACCATCACTTGGTCAGTGAATTTAGTCTAATACATGTTTTCTGGAGCAAACCTGTACTGACTTTTGTCTATGGTTTTCCCAAGAGCCAATCCCAAGCATTGATTCCTCTAAATGTTTCTTCACTACTGACAGCCAGTTGAATAGCCTGAGTTTATCTCATTCCCCTTTCTTAAACAGGGATGTAACATTGTAGTCACCCAGTCCTCTGTCATAATCCTATTCAAAGAAGATTGGTAGATTGAGGCCAGAGTCTCTGTAATTCTACCCTGACTTCCCTCATAGAATCCTGCAGTATGGAAGAGTCCACACTGACCCTTCGAAGGGCATCCCACCCAAACCGCACGCCCCCAAACCCTCCATTTTCCCTGGCTTATCCACCTAGCCCTGATACTATGGGCAGTTTAGCATGGCTAATTCATGTAGCCTGCACATGTTTGGACTGTGGGAGGAAACCAGAGCAAACCCACATAGATACAGGGAGAATGTGCAAACTGCACATAGACAGTTTCCCAAGGCTAGAATTGAACCTGGGTCCCTGGTGCTGCGAGGCAGCAGGGCTAACCACTGAGCCACAGCACCTCAGCAAACCTAGAATGCATCCCAAAGCTGCACTTAGTGACTTTTGACTACTACCAACATTTTAAATCTGTCCTCCCACTGAATCATCTTCCACTTCTCCCACTACATTGCTCATTGTCACAAAAGCTCTTCCATCTTTTTTTAATGTCCCTGGGAATTTTCCCACTACCAATCTCCCAGCATTCGGTGGCCTATGGAATAATAGGTATTATATGCTGTAATAATAACAATGCCAGTAACATAATAGCTCCTGTACTGGTCTTTAATTCTTTAAATTTGATTTTGGATTTTGCAAACATTGCTGTATTTTCCTCTCTGCAGATCTTTAACCTGATGAAATTTGACAGCTACACACGTTTTGTGAAATCCGCACTTTATCAGCAGTGTGTGTTGGCAGAGGTCGAGGGCAAGCCACTTCCTGGTAGCAACTCACAGGAATTGGAACCCAGCCATGATAAAGAGAGTGTCAGCCTCTGTGACTCCAAGAAGGTAAGATCTAATCCTAACAGGGGACAATGGATAATCTGATACAGTGTCTGAATAGTTAGCACTGCTGACTTACAGTACTGGGTACCCAGGTTCGATTCCAGACTTGGGTGTTTGTCTGTGTGGAGTTTGCATGTTCTCCCTGTGTTTCTGTGGGTTTCCTCCAGGTGCTCTGGTTTCCTTCCACAGTCCAAAGATGTGCAGGTTAGGTGGATTGGCCATGCTAAATTGCCTGTAGTGTCCAGAGATATGCAGGCTGTGTGGATTAGCCATGGCAAATACAGGGTATGAGAGTGTGCCTGGGTGGGATGCTCTTCAGAGGGGCCATATTGTCTTCATGGGCTGAATAGCCTGCTTCCACACTATGGAGATGCTATGATGAATTGAAAATTTTAAAATCTCTAACGCTGTGCACAACATGAAGGTATGAAAGTCCACATTTAAAATCATTCACCTTTTGGACCAGAAGTTAATTAGCAGTTATTATCAGCCACCAATATGCAAAAAGGCTACTTACACTTTCAGTTTACAGATTTACCTTTCTAGTGGTGAGTTTAATGGAGAAATAATGTGCAACTCCTGAAACTTCATAAAGTGTGTAAGGATATTAAGGGCAAGTTGCTACTTTGGATGGAGACAGCTGTGCTGAGAGGGGTGAATCTTAAGAAGCTACATACAGACACGTTATTTCTTCCTAGTGTTCTCATAGATGCTCTTTCAGCCAATTAAGCAATTTTGTTGCACCTTTCATTGCCTATGTTTTTGCTGGACAAGTGATTTATTTTGTCCTCTCTAAAAGTAGCTGGCTTATTTGGACAGCATTGTTAAAAAATGAAAGAACTGTGGATGCTGTAAATCAGGAAACAAAACAGAGATTGCCGGAAAAGCTCAGAACTTCTGAGGAAGGGTCACCGGACCTGAAACGTTAACTCTGTTTTTTTCCTTCACAGATGCTGCCAGACCTGCTGAGCTTTTCCAGCAACTTCTGTTAATGGTCTAGTTCATAGTCTCGGCTAAGTTTGACTCGTATGGCATGCTGAACCAGAAAGGCAAATTGGCAAACAATGGAATACTTACATATTGAGACAGCAAGCAATAACCATAATTATTAATCCCTTATTGTCCTTTAGCAGAAGAAGAAGCTGAAGTCGGGAAAGTCATTCAGCGGTTTACCACAGAACGGCTATGATGGGAAAGGAGGAAGCCCCGAGAAACAGATCCAGAGGAGTAAAAGCAAATTAAGTTGGAAGAAAGAGAAAGAGAAAAGAGACTCCTTGGGAGGTTCGGTCCTGGCTTGCACTGCTCAAACTATTTAAAACTGCGCAATAAATGGTTGTAGCTTAGTAGTATGATGTAATGGGTTACAATGCAATGTAAAAGGTTTTGATGAATCCTAAGGGAGGTCAGTCTGACATGAAAGTTTGAATGAATTTTGTTAGAATGTAGCGGGAGAGCAATACAGTTTAGCAGATTGCTATAAGATACAAAGAAATTTTTTCACTGGTTAACAAATCTTGTATTAAGCTAAAAATATGATCATTGTAAGCATGAGGGAGGAACATGAACTTCTGATTTTCAGTTAGAGGGATACGGGGATAGTTTGGAAAATGGCATTGATGTCAATAATCAGCCATGATCGTTATGTATGTTTGTTTTTCCAATTTTATATCTCCTTGTCCCACCCTCTGCATGGAAGCTCTGTATTGAGTTACAGTTGCATTGGCACTAACTGTCCTTGATACCTCACCCAGGTTTGCCTTACAATGAATGTTGTGAAGCTAATAAGCTACAGAAACTAATGTGTCCTAACAAACTAACATGGGAGCAGGAATACGCCATTCAACCCCTCAAGCTTGCTGTGCCAGTCTGGATCATGTCTGACCATGAATGCCAATGCCAATTTTCCACACTATCCCAATATCCCTCTAAGCAGAAATTTATCATCTCCATCTTGAACATGCTCATTAACAGAGATTCCACAGCCTCCTCTGGGATTGAGAATTCCAGAGAAACATCATCTTCAGAGTGAAGAAATCGCCCTTCATCTTGGCTCTAAGTGGCTTAGCTCTTATTCTGAGACTATGTTCCCCAGTACTAGACCACTACCCCACCCCTCCCGAAACCGGGGAGGGCTGAAGCATTGTTTCCTCATCTGCCCTGTCATGTCCTTCAAGAATTTTGATTGTTTCAGTGAGATCACCTCTCATTCTCCTAAATTCTGGAAAATACAGGCCCAGTCTCCTCAATCTTTCCTCATAGTACAGTCCCACCCTCCCAGGAATCAGTCTGGTGAACCTCTGCTGCACTCCCTCAATGGTAAGGATGTCCTTCATTCAGTAAAAGGAATTAAGGACGGCACACAATACTCTGGGGTGGGGGGGCGGGGTGGGGGGCGTGGGGTGGGTGGTGGCGGAGCAGGGTGCAGTCTCACCAAGGTGCAAACAAGACAACTTTACACTTGTACTCAAATCCTCTTGCAATAAATGTGAATGTACCATTTGCCTTCCATATTGCCTGGTGTTGGGTCATAAGCCTGTAACTATCGATTTCTGTGGGTAAATCACCACAAGTTACTTTTAATTCAGCTACTTATTAAGGAACCTCATAGACAACCAAATACTGAAACAATTATTCAAACTTATAATAACCAAAATAAGAGTAAGCAAGTAAGCAAGTTAAGCCTCACAACTCAACTTAGCTATTAATGATGGAATTTAGCAATGATTCCAACCAATAGTGTCTATCTCTGAAGGGTCCAGGGTTTGATCCTTGTGTAGTGTTGTTCTTTGAAGTTCTGCTAATGCATGGTTCTAGTGTTGAATTCTTATGCAGATATTCATTCTTTAGGTCTACAATGTGGTATTATTGATGATTCTTTAGATTCATCCAAATTTATTGAGTGCTTCTCTCAAACCATCAAGTCTGCAGCGTGCCTTCTTATCAGAAGTAGCTTCCCTGTTCCTTGTTACATTTGGCATTAACAGTTTGTTTGATGACATCACTTTCCTGTGATTAACTCCTTAAATTCTTCTGCAGGGCAATCATTTGTCCTTGTGGCATGAGGCAGCAGTTCATCAAGAATTGATGACACAGTCTCATTGATGTAGCTTTGACTCCTACTTTTCCCGGACAGGGCTAAATGCTTTCAATTCTTGTATAAGTTTGTCCTTGTCCCTTAATAGTTTATTGCAGATGGAATTATTGCTGATTCCTTCATGTGCAACAGTTTATCTCTGTTGGTTCTTTCAATTTGTCATCAGCTATGAAAATTTTGAAGTTTAAAGTATCATACTACCTAACAGGAATATGACCTGTCGTGTGGACTGCCGTGGTTCAGGAGTGTTGTTTGCCATCACCTTCTTGATGGTAGTTAGGGGTCAGCAATAAATGTGATACTATCACAAGAGATGTATTTTTTTTAAATGCCAAAGGTGCAGGGCAATCATTTGTCCTTGTGGCATAAGGCAGCAGTTTATGAAGAATTGATTACACAGTTTCATTGTTGTAGCTTTGACTCCTACTTTTTAAATGTCATCATCATTAAGCTCTCTGCCAGGAGGACAGCATCATGTCTCAATGGACCATTTTTGATCAATCAGTGGTAGTGTCGACTCTCCATCTTTTGCTTCTGATGACGTACAGTACTCATCGATTACACATGGGAGATGTTGTAACAGAGGATGGAGGCAATGCCCTAGTGGTATTATCACTAGATTATTAATCCAGAAACTCAGCTAACGTTCTGTGACCCCAGTTCAAATTGTGCCATGGCAGATGGTGGAATGTGAATTCAATAAAGAATCTGGAATTAAGGGTCTAACAATGAGTATGAAACCATTGGGCTGGTGTGGTGGCTCAGTGGTCAGCACTGCTGCCTTACAGTGCCAGGGGCCTAGGTTCAATAGCACTCTAGGTTGACTGCCTGTGTAGAGTTTGCATATTCTCCCTGCGTCTGGGTGGGTTTCCTCTGGGTGCTCCAGCTTCCTTCCACAGTCCAAAGATGTGCAGGTTAGGTGGATTGGCCATGGAGATTTCAGGGTTATAGGGATAGGGTAGAGGGTGGGTCTGGGTGAGATGCTGTCTTGAGAGGCAGTGTGGACTCGATGGGCCGAGTGGACTGCTTCCATGGTGTAAGGATTCTATGTTTGTCAATTGTCAGAAAAACCTGCTTAGTTCACTCATATCCTTTAGGGGAAGAAATCTGAACCCTTACCTGTTCTGACCCTCCATGTGACTCCAGATGCACAGCAATGTGATTGACTCTTAACTGTCCCCCTGCACAATTAGGGATGGGCAATAAATGCTGGTCTAAACAAGAGATGCTCACATCACATGAGTGAATAATAAAAAAAAGAGAAGAGTTGCCAGAACACAGCTCCTTATTACATTTAAACAGAAAATGCTGAAAAGACTCAACAGGCCATAACCATGAAGAGAAAACCAGGTTATTTCCTCTCCATGCTGAACATTTCCAACAATTTCTGCTTTTATTTCAGATTTCCAGCTTTTTGCTTCTGTGTTGTGTTGTCTCCCAGTGCATTTCACTGTGAGGTGTTTTGCAGCTTTTATGTGTTTAATTCTTATTCCTTTGTGGTTTTTGCGTTCTGAATGGTATAAATATTTAGAAGGGCAAACAAGCTTCTGAGTGCTCACCTTGACCTCCAATCATTACAGTGTTGGCCATTTCTCATTCCACAAAGTCAGAAGGTTATAGATTGAAGATGCACCCTAATCTTAAATGTGGTGTGAGCCAAAGTCGAGAGGGATGCTGTCCTCATCCATTCAGTCTACTAGGGGCTCCCCAGGAACAATGCTATCTTAGAGGGCAAGGTCAGAAATCACACGATACCAGGTAATACTCCAACAGGTTTATTTGAAAACACAAGCTTTCGGAGCCTCGCTCCTTCTTCAGGTGTTAGTAAGAGAAGTAAAATCAGATACAGAATTTATAAATAAAAGATCAAAGGGTCACACCACTGATGAGGATGTACTAAACAAACCTAAGATGCTGTTAAATCTTTAATCAGTTAGAAGGTTTTAATTGATTAATATGTATATTAACAATTTCTAAACAAGGCCTCATACCTAACATGCATTGTCTGACCTAAAATGTCACCTCTTCTTTACACTGATAAAACTTTTAGTTCTTTCAGGACAGTGACTAGTAAAACATTCGGAGATTTACATTTACATATTATTCAATTAAAACCTTCTAACTGATTAAAGATCTAACAGCATCATCAGGGGTGTGACCCTTTGATCTTTCACTGATAAATTCTGTGTCTGATATGACCTCTTTCACTAACACTGAAGAAGGAGTGAGGTTCCAAAAGCTTGTGTTTTCAAATGAACCTGTTGGACTATAATCTGGTGTCGTGTGATTTCTGACCTTGTCCACCCCGGTCCAGCACCGGCACCTCCACATCTTTGAGGACATGAGCTGGTTTGTTGCAGACCAAGGTTAGATTCATCTTATGGTCTATGCAGCTTAAAGCCAATCTAGATCATGGCTTTACCTATTAGCTATCAGGGAAGTTTACTCATGATTTTGAGCTAGGTCATTTTGGAAGGTTTTACAATGTGATTAACAATTCCCTTTTTTGTTTGCAGTGGATATTTCAGACAGCAATGGCCTCTTCTTGTCTCGCCGTGAGTCCCAGGGGTCCGTGTATTCAACAGCCAGTGTGGAACTGGGTTTCCTCAGTTCTCTCCAAGCCAGAACAGAGGTACGACACAGGGAGCAAAATGTCCATGATGGCACCCATTCAATCTGCACACATGAGGAATTAGTGGGGGAGCTGGCACTTTGGGTTCAGACATCAATCTGGGCCATTTGGACTGAGAGTCTTGCACATCTAAGCAGGAGCGGAACCACCAGCTACATGAGGTGATGGTGCTACTGATTTGAGTTGAGCCTCGCAACCGATTTGTCGCATACAGCCCTGACTTAGCAAACCCCTTGTCATCTCAGCATTTCCATGGCTGAGACTCAGCAGCGGGCTCTCTAGTAAAGTGCATGCAACGTAAACTTCTGTCATTTGAGTGGGTCAGAACATAGGAAGTTTCAAAAGACATAGGTTTTAAAGAGAATAATCCTTTAAGGAGAGATGCAGTTCTGTCCCAGTTAACTGCTCATATTGCATTGTCTATGAGCGAGCCGAGGGAGTAGACAAAGGCATGGTGCATGAGATATAATGTGGACAAATGTGAGGTTATTTGCTTTGGTAGCAAAAACAGGGAGGTAAATTATTATCTGAATGGCTATAAATTGATGGTGGCGAACGTGCAACAAGATCTGGGTGTCCTTGCACACCAATCGATGAATGTAGGCATGCAGGTGCAACAGGCGGTAAAGAAGGCAAATGGTATGTTGGCCTTCATAGCAAAAGGATTCAAGTACAGGAGTTGGGATGTCTTGCTGTAAATTGTACAGGGCCTTGGTGAAACCACAATCTGGAATATTGTGTGTGGTTTTGTGAGGGAGTATGCTCTTGCTGCAGAGAGAGTGCAGCGAAGGTTTACCAGACTGATTCCTGGAATGGAGGGTCTGAACTATGAGGAGAGCCTGAACCGATTAGGATTGTATCCACTGGAGTTCAGAGGAATGAGGGGAATCCCACAGAAACCTATAAAATTCTAACAGGGTAGATGCAGGAAGGATGTTCCCGATGGCAAGGGCATCTGGAACCAAGGTCACAGTCTAAGGATAACAAGGTGCAGAGCTGGATGAACACAGCAGGCCAAGCAGTATCAGAGGCCTGCTGTGTTCATCCAGCTCTACACCTTGTTATCTCAGATTCTCCAGCATCGGCAGTTCCTACTATCTCTCACAGTCTAAGGATGCAGGGAAAACCATGCAGGACTGGGATGAGAAATTTCTTCACCTTTTTTCAGCCTGTCAAATTCACCAACACACAAAGCAGTTGAGGCCAAAGCATTGTACGATTTCAAGAAGGAGTTGGATACAGCGCTTGGGTTAGAAAGATTAAAGGATACGGGGGAAAAGCAGGAACAAACTATTGAGTTGGATGATCACAGTGAATGGCACAGCAAGCTCAAAGGACTGAATGGCCTCGTCCAGCCCCTATCTTCTAAGTTTCTGATATTTATATCAATACTCACCACTAATTTGTCAATATGATCAGCAAAATTTTGCTAAAACAATAGTGGCTACCTCACCACCTTGTTATTGGACAAACATTTTTAGTATGTCAAAACTCTTAAAATACTACCTCAGTTCCTTATGAAAGATCAGTTGCTATATTTTTACAGTTAATCTTCTTATTCCCCATCAGCAAACAGATCTGTCAAAGTGAAATTTAGTTCGACGGTAAACCATAAGCCCATTAAATCCATACTAGCCCTTTCAAAGACCAATCCAATTGGTTCAGCTCAAAATCCTTTTCCCTACATCACAGCAATTGTTTTATTTTTCACATGTTTGTCCAATTTTGATGGCTTTTGGTAAATTGCTTCTCCCATCCTATCAGGCAGCAAATTCCAATCCTCAATCCTCCGCAAGTAAAATTGCTTTTTATCATGTCCTGTGAAAGTCACTGCTGAAAGCAATGCCCACAAGAAGGGTCTAGGCCCGAAACATCAGCTTTCCTGCTCCTCTGATGCTGCTTGGCCTGCTGTGTTTATCCAGCTCTACACCTTGTTGTCTCAGATTCTCCAGCATCTGCAGCTCCTACTATCTCTGAAACAATTTTAATCCCACAAGTCAGATTTACTTTTCTGTACTGACCACAATTCACTCTCTAACTTTATCACTCCTTCCTTTCCCTTAAAAAGTACACCGCAGGAACCAAAGTAGATAGAGATAAAGAAAACCATTCGGCCCATTTCATTTCACAGCCTTCATGTCACAGCATCTAATTGGCTCTAACTCATGTTACCTCGGGGCTTTTTTTTGTCATGCTGTTTAGTTTGCTCATTAGAGATAGAGAACAGAAAGACCACGGATTCCCTCCTTTGTCTCTGTGGACATTGTTCATCTCAGTTGGGGCAATGTTACAGCCAAAGCAGGAAGAGAAAGCTCAGATGCATCCACTTGATCAGCATTCAGTGACACCATCTGGAAAGTAACACACATGTGCTTTTCAGACAAAGACCTTGCCTGGGGTACTTGCCAGAATTAAATAAAGTGTTGATGTTCAGTGTCTGGCCTTAGGGTTTGAAGTATCAATATCTGGACAAGTTGTCCACAATAGGCTAAACTTGTTGAAATGCTCTCTGGACTGGATGACAATCTATATTAAACAATACCAAGTATACACAGCTTTTTGATGTCCCACCCTTTCCAGCGTGTTTCTTAATTTGAATTTATCTAAGAGTAGGTACACCTCTTCCCTCAAAAAGTGTAGTCAGTACATGAAATAGATTGGTGAGACAGTGAAAGTAAAAGATTTTGAATCAGTTCGATCCAATCGATGCTGTAGTGGGGAGATTGTGTGAAATGAGATGAGCTGAACGTTTCTTTTTAATCCATGTCTATTTCGTGACCTTGTGAGAAAGGAAATAGTGATAAAGCTAGTGATGGTGTTCAGTACAGATAGGTAAATCTCATTTGTGGACATTGCTTTTAGCAGTAACATTCACATCACACAAGTGCCATTTGTTACAAGGGAATGGTCAACCCCCCAACCCCATTAACAAAGACCCAGAGAAGCTCACCTTGCCTCATAATCTGTTAAAGGAAGTGTGAAAAGTGGTCTTACCTACCTCTCATTTCCCCTAATCTGTTATAAAGGAGTCGTTAAATGAAAGAAATCCCTGAAATTCATTTTGTAATCAATAACCAACCACTTATTTACCTAACTCTAACAGTGAGCAAATTAACAGAAATACTAATAAACCAAACAATTCACCCTTCACTACTAACTATTCCCGATTAAACAAAATTCTAATGGTATGCTGTTCCAATAAATACAAGTCCCACTTATATAAACCAAAGTAATAAGAAAAATAAAATTAAAATTTAGTCTATCAAAATTACAGCCAGGATACATCTTCCGAAATGCTCCACACTCTCTCCGCTGATCCTCAGTCAGGAACACCTTTCTCCATTGAATTCTTGTGTTGGGAATATTAGTTAAGAGTGCCGCTGTACCTTTAGTTTAGATAATGGTTTTCTGAGAGCTTAGAGAATTCTGTAAGAGCCAATGATTCTTTCTTTTATAGCTGAGAGCTGTTCTCTTAGCAGATGACAGTTGAATCTCAGACCGAATTTCAAATACCCTCTTCTTTTATACCCTTGGTGACTTATTGATTTCTTACAATAGGATTGGTCCTAGGTTGTCAAAACAATAAGTTTTTTTTAAATTTAATTGGGTTTTGGTATCTAGGGCCTGGTTTAAATTAATTGGCTATATTCAAATACCTGTTGTCTATGTAAAAATGCTGCTTTGCCTGCTGACAGCATAGCCTTTTGAAAGGATGTTTCAATTTCAAGAACTCTGTGCATCTGCTGTTGCCTGCAGGCACTTTTTAATCTCCCAGCCTAAAAAGACACACCATCTTTTAAAGGGACCAAGTACACTTCCCTCTTATCAATTTACAGACAACAAATACTCTACCCAACTTCGCAACACATCGCCGACGAGAGAGAATCTAGCCATTATCTCTTATCATCGCTGTATTCCGAATCCCTCCTCCCAGCCAACATCTTGGGGTTACCATTGTCCAGAAACTGAACTGGACTAGCTGTACAAATGCAATGGCTACAAGAGCAGGTCAGAGGCTGGAAAACCTATGGCGGGTAACTCACGTCTTGAATCTCCAGTCATCTATAAGGCGCAAGCCAGGAATGCGATTGGATATGGCCCACTGGCCTGGATGGGGGAAGCTTGAATAACACTCAAGACACGTTACACCATTCAGGACAAAACAGCCTGCTTGACTGGCAACACATCCACACCATCAATATTCAGTGCCTTTACCATCAATGTCAGCAGGGTATACCATCTACAAGATGCTCTGTATTAATTCACCAAGGCTCCTGTGTAGAAGCAACGTCATCAGTATGCCAGCATCACCCTCAATAGGCGGAGCCAACAATGCCCATGTTCCGCCAACAAATAAAAAAAGTTCCAACCTTGTGATAGCCTCAACTTTTCACTTCTGCCGGTCCCCATAAATCTGTCTAACTCCGTCTTCAATATGTACGGTGAGCCCACCCTCCGCCCCTGTCTGGGTTGGTGTATTCAAAATTCTAATCGCCTTCTGAAAGAGGGTTAGCCTGCTCACCACCGTCTTAAAGGGGAGAACCCTTATTTTGAAACTGTATTCAAAAATTGTCAAACAATCAAAAATCCTCTCAATATTAATGATTAGGGATGCAGAAAAGCCAGCATCTGCCGCTGACCCCATTATTCAGTGGCGTACATCCATTCTCTGGTCACAAAGATGAGGAAAATGCAGTCCTGACCCGAAACATCGGCTTTCCTGCTCCTCTGATGCTGCCTGACCTGCTGTGTTCCTCCAGTTCCACACTTTGTTATCTCAGACTTCAGCATCGACAGTTCTTACTATTTCCAAACAAAATGTTGAGATGTGCTGCCCACTCTGGCACTTGAGAGAGGCTTTTGAAGCTTGTTGTGTCCCTCCACTGGGGCTCAGCTCCCTGATTCAGATGCTGTATGACTACTTTCTGAGGCTAATTAAGAGTTAGTTAGATCTTTTTGGTAATGCTTCTAAACAAGTCCGCCACTGATTCATCCATTTAGTACCTCAATCTTCAGTCCTCTGCTGACAGTGTTAGCAATTAATCAGCAAGCTTAACTTCCTGGAGGAGGTAGATCTGTCTTTGGGACATGCAATGTCATTGAATCGTAGCAGTTTGCAATACAGAAGTAGGCCATTCAACCCATATTATCTGTACCAGTTCCTGAAAGAGCTACCCAGCTAGTCCCATTGTCCAGCCTTTTCTCTGTAGCCCTCTGAAATCATCACTTTCAAATAAATATCTAACTCTCTTTTGAAACCTCCTATGGAATCTGCCTCAGTCGCTCTCTGAGGCAGCTCATTCCAAATGCTAACAGCTTTCTGAGTGAAACAGTTTCTTCTCACCTTACTCCTGGCTCTCTTACTGACAGTGTTGAAATTGTGACCCTTGGTTACTGACATGCCAACTGATAGAAACAGAGCATCCTTCTTTATCCTGTCAAAATTGTTCTCAAGGATCCTGCAAGCCTTCTCAACAAAAGTTTCAACCCGCCTGGCCACCTTCAGAGAATTATGCACGTGAGCCCCAAGGTCCCTCGGTTCCTGTACTCTGCTCAAAGTTGTACCATTGACCCCATATTGTCTCTCCATGTTTCTTCTACCAAAATGCATTGCCTCACATTTCTCTGCATTGAATTTAATCTGCCAGGTATCTGCCTATTGGACCAATGTGTCAATGCCCCTCTGAATTCCCCTGTGTCATCCTCACAATTCCCTATTCTCTCGAGCTTCATATCGTCTGCAAATTTAGAGATTTTGCCCTCAACAACCATCACCAAATCGTTCACATAAATCAGAAAAAGCCAGGGTCCCAAGCCTGATCCCTGGGAGCACCATTTCCAATTTATCTCCAATCTGGGAAATACCCACTTACACCTACCCTTTGTTTCCTATCTTTTAGCCAAATCCTAATGCATGCTGCTAAGGACCGATCAATCCCGAACATTTCTAATTTGCTAACTAATCTTCCATGAAGCACAGTGTCAAATGCATTCTAAAAGTTCAAATATACAACATCCACAGCATATGCTCATCTATTGCCTGTGTCATCTTGTCAGAGAATTCAACTATATTTGTCAGACGTCACCTGCCCTTGACAGAACCATACAGACCATCAAGTGTTAATATATTTTTCTCCCAGAGTATTCTCCTGTATTATGTCTTCCATCAGTTTTCCCACTATTGATGTGAAGCTGACAGGTCTGCAGTTTCCTGGGTTATCCTTTGCCCCCTTCTCAAACAACAGTATCACATTTGCAATCCTCCAGTCCCCTGGGACTACTCCTGGAAAATTTCTGACAATGGTTTCGCAGTTTGTTCCGTCACATCTCTCAGCAATCTGGCATGCATTCCATCTGGGCCTGGTGACTTCCCCAGCCTTTTTAGCACCTCTTCTTTATCTATTACTGTCCTGCTCAGTTGTGCAACACCCACATTTTCAACTATGTCATTGCCATCATTTTCTAATCTGTTAAATACAGAAGCAAAGTATTCATTTAGTACCTCTGCCCTACCCGTTGCTTCAATGAGCAGCTTACCCTTGCTTGTTCCTAATGGACCCCACTCTGTCCTTCACTAATTATTTACTAATAATATGTTTGAAGAACATTTCAATATTTGTTTTGCCATTCTTTCTTCATGCTTCCTCTTCGTCTTTCTTACACCATCCTTGGGCTCTCACCTGCATTTGAGAAACTCTTCCTGATTTCTATTACTATCATTATTTGGGTATGCTTCATATGCCTCCTTTTGCTTCCTTATTTTCTCATCAATATACTTAGTCATCCGGGGACTCTAGCTTAGGATACCTGTATTTATTTCTCATGGGTGTGCACCTAGCTTGCACCATATTCATCTCTCTTTTGAAATTCTCCCATTTTTCATCCATTGTTTTATACACAAAAATACATTTCTAATCAAAATACTTCAAATCAACTTTTCCCTAAATTCTGCACTTTTCCAGTTTGGGATCATAAACATTGATTGACTTTTTATCCTTTTCCACCTGAATATTATTTCTTATTATGTTATGATCATTATTTCCCAAATGCTATGCTATGATCATTATTTCCCAAATGCTCCCCCACTCTAACGTTCTCCAATTGGCATGCCTTACTTCCTAGGACCAGATCCAGCAGAGCTTCCTCCCTGGTAGGACTGGAAATATACTGTTCCAGAATGTTCTGTTGCACACATTGCAGAAATATCTCCCCTTTCATGCTCTACCCTAGGATTTTTGAAATCGCAACTATCACAACCCTACTTTCCTTACACATTCCCATAATCTGCCTACAAATATCCTCTTCTATTTCCTCTCCACTATACGGAGGTCTACAGTGAATACTCAACAAGGGCACCACTGCCTTCCTGTTTCTCACCTTCAATCATATAGATCTTAATTCAGGAACTGCATCTGATTCAAGGCCAATGATAGTATCTTTGATCAAGGCTGCTAAGCCTCCTCCCTTTTAACCCACCCGTTTCTACTAAAAAACCTTATCAACAGGGATGTATTAAGAATCCAGTCCTGTTCTGGCCTTAGCCATGTTTCTGACAATGCTGCTTTGTCATATGCTCCTAGAGTAATTTCTGCTTCCAGTTCCTCAATTTTATTCATTGTGCTCCGTGTATTTGCCTACATACAATTTGACCCCGCTCTTATCTCTTCCTTGCCCATTGAAAGGCGACCATTTCTTTGATCATTGTCAACACTCAAGCCTTCCTTTACATCCTTTTCCCCATTCCCCATCTTCTCTCTTTTTTCCCTCACTGGTACTTCCAAAACTAAGTCCATTAGTCAACACCACCCCCCACCTCCAACCTACCTTACACATTTAAATCAACGCCCATCACACGACTTATTCTCTCAGCCAGGAGATTGGTTCCTTTTCAGCTCAGGTAAAGCTCATCTCTTCTGAACAGCTTTCTCTTTTCCCAAAAGTGATTCTAATGTCCCAAAAATCTAAACCCCTCCTTTCTACACCATCCCTTCAAACCAAGCCCCCTGACCTGCCTTTTCCTAAATGGTTAAATTCATGGCACAGAGATTACTACCCTGGAGGTCCCACATTACTCCCTATCTCCTGAAATGGATCCTGCAAGGCCTCCATTCTGTCTCTCCCTATGTTACAGAGTCATAGAGTCATACAGCACGGAAACAGACCCTTTGGACCAACCAGACCATGCCAACCATAACCCAAACTAAACTAGTCCCACCTGCTTGCGCTTGGCCCATATCCCTCCAAATCTTTCCTATTTATGTACTTATCCAAATGTCTTTTAAATGTTGTACCTGCATCCACCACTTCATCTAAAAGTTCATTCCACACACGAACCACGCTCTGTTTAAAAAGTTGCCCCTCATATGCTTTTTTAAATTTTCCTCCTCTCACCTTAAAAATATGCCCCCTCGTCTTGAAACCCCCCAACCTAGGAAAAAGACATCTGCCTTTCACCTTATCTATGCACTTCACAATTTTATAAACCTCCATAGGGTTATCCCTCAACTTCCTACGCTCCAGTGAAAAAAATCCGACTCCTCCTTATAACTCAAAACCTCCATTCCCGACAACATTTTGGTGAATTTTTTCTAAACCCTCTCCAGCTTAATAATATCCTTCCTATAACAGGATGACCAGAACTGGACACAGTACTCTAGAAGAGGCCTCACCAACATCCTGTACAACCTCACCATAGCATAACATAATATGTTGTTGGTCCCTCCATGAACCACAACCACTTATTTTTCACCCTCCCTTTCTGAAAGTTTATCAAGCTGTTTTGTTCAATCTTCTCCTGATAATGTAACGTCTAAATAGTACAGATTATCACTAAATAAGTATAATACTGGAAGCAATTCAGGTTGGAAGCATAGCATCAGGCCAGTTCTTGGACTTAATAGAGCATCCAACAGCCTGGCTCTGCCAACCTGTGCCTAGCGTCTACAGATTTTGGGTAAGGGGCCTATGGCCCTTCAGGGAAGCAGTCTATACTACATTCGGGAAACAACAGTAGCAGCGAGCTGCATTCATATGGAGCTTTTAGCATAAAGAAACACTCATCCATATTTCACAGGAGTACAGTCTGGTACAGGGCCACACAAGGAGACCTTAGGACAGGTAATTAAAAGCTTGCATATTGGCAAATTTTAATGCAGGCCTTAAAGGATGTTAGAGAAATGCAAAGAGTTACGGAAACAGTTGTGCAGACAAGGGGTCGAGGAGCAGTACTACAACTGGTGGAGTGAAGACAGTCGATGCTGCAGAAGAGTCTGTGTTAGCGGTTCGTAGAGCTTGAGGAGGTTTTAGAGGGGAAGGGACCCTAAAAACAGTTATGATCTTTGACGTTGCCTTGAAGGGTTTTCGAACTGTGGTTCAACGTGATGACGTTTAACACAAACGTTGCTCTTGGTTGTAGTATGAAAGACCAAGCCCGGAGATAGAAAACGAGAAGAAAGTAAAATACTGCTGCGTTTACCTGCCTGACAAAACCGCCTCTTTAGCAATGGTTCGACCTGGCTTGACTATCCGGGACTTGCTGTCTGGAGTTTGTGAAAGGCACGGAATTCCTCTGGCAGCCACTAGTACCTACCTGTCTGGAAGTGACAAGGTAAGTTGGTGTTTACCATCTTACGATTTACTGGTAGCCTCAGGCTGCTGGACCCGACCCAACCCCCTCAGCTGACAACACACTCATCAGGAAGTCTACCCCCTACATATCTAGCACCTAGCCTCTCAGCACCTAACAGCAAACCTGTCCTTTCCCAGCAGCTGTCACTGTGGCTATAAGTACCTTTAACTTTTAGAGTATGACAGATACTGGCTGTGAAAAGAGAAAGTTATTTGCCTCCTTCTGACTGTCATATGCTATGAAAGAGCTGTCAGAACCTAAGGGTACGGCTCTGCGTTTCTGAGGGAGCCCTGAGCAGAATCTCCTCTCTAAGGCGAGGAGCCCCTTTCTCTTGCAGAATAGAAGGGCCATTTACCTAACAAAAACAAAGTTGCTGGAAAAGCTCAGCAGGTCTGGCAGCATCTGTGGAGGAGGAAACAGAGTTAACGTTTCGGGTCCGGTGACCCTTCCTCAGAACTGATGGTGACTGGGAAAATGTCAGTTTATATGCAGAAAATAGGGAGATGGGTGGGGTAGGGAGTAAACGATAGGATAGAGCCCAAAGAGAGAGAAAGACAGTTGGACAGACAAAGGAGTTACTAACAATCAGGCTGGGAGGGTGAGTAGTTGTTAATGGGGACTGTGGTGGCCATTTACCTAAGATTGTCACTCCTCAGAAAATCTGGCCCCACATTTTTTTTTTGCATTCAGTCACCAACTTTTCGCACATATTTCAGTCAGAATGTAAAAAGTCGTAGCAAGAACCTCTCTACACCGAGTGGTAAGAATGTGGAACCCATCATTCTACAGAGCATTTGAGGTGAATATCAAAGATGCATTAAAGGCAAATTAGGTAAATACATGAGAGAGAAATGAATTGAAGGATATGCTGAGCAGATTAGACAGGATAAATTGGAGGTGGTTTATGTGAAACATGAAAAAGACAGTACAAAGAATTTGGGTTTAGTGGTTAGTTTTAATGCGGTAAATTCCACATAATTCCAGGTATTACTCTGATTTCTGTTTTGTTTTGGTTTAACACAATGTTTTCACTTCATGTTGAAGTGAATGCTAACGGACACCAGGGAAAGGGAAGTTACAAACGTAATTTGCAGTACTGTAGGAAGTAAAAGCAGTTTTAACATTTTTTTTCAGAAGTGTCTTAGTGAAGTCAAGAGTGCTTAATCATCACAAGGCACTTTTGTTTTGTTAAACTAAGTTTCATAAGACTTTAATCCATCGCTGTCTGTTCTTGGTCTTAACCTTAACAAAAGAGTTTCATTCATTATGTAGGTCTGTATCACAGAGAAATCTAACAATGCAAATAATCCCAGGTCTTTCAGTCGCTCAAGGCTGTTCTATCATGATCTGAACTGTTAGGTAAAAATCTCTTAGACTCAGTTTTCAAAGTATCAATTGACTCCTATCAGCCTTCACAGCCTTTTAGAAGCAAGAGGTCCAGGGTCCAGAGAGGTTTTGGGTGATAAAGTGTCTTCTGATTCCATTCCTTTACAAAAGACTTTCCAGCCCACCAGCTCTCATGACCATCAACCCTCCAATGCTTCCCTACATGACCCTCCTGCCCACTTGCCCCTCATGCTCCTGTACCACCTGCATGCCACCCCATGTCCCTCCTCTGTGTTCCCTTGTAGCAATCTGCCATCTCCGTAACCACTGCCCACAAAGAGCAGATGGAAAGAACCTCATGGGGATGAAAAAACTAAATAAGTTTCTAATTATCAAAGGCTGTGAGGAGGGGGATGTTGGGTGTTTGCGGTTGGAGAATCTCACTTATATAAACATTTTGAGAAGCCAATTCAAAGATTTTAAAACCCCTCAGGTTCTGTTCAAGAATAAAACATTCTTCTACTCAGTACCACTATGAAAACCATCTGTCCATCTATTCTGAGTTCTGAGAAAGGGTCACTTGACCTGAACTATCAACTCTGATTTCTCTCCACAAATGCTGCTAGACCAGCTGAGCTTTTCCGGCAATTTCCATTTTTGACTCCATCTGTGGTATTCCTTTTCCTTCCAATCTGAGGTCCCTGAATTCTCACGCCCCCTCATGCTCCTTCCCTGGCATCCTAGTCATTTCAACCTCCCATCACTGACCTGAAAGCAATGGTGCTAGAAATGACTAACTTGGCCTCTTTCTTCCCTCTCAGGCTCCACTTGCTATACCAATCTGGTGTGGATAAGATTCAAGGCCCAAGATTAAGGTTTTCTTAGACCTTTGCATTATTCTGTTCTGGGGTACCAGGAGAGCAGCACACCCAGATATTGGACCCTTCATAATATCTTGGCTCCTGATTCTTTCCTGTCAAGCATTTTTTCCAGTTAGAATACCTTCATCAGGTTATCCCTTCCAACATTTTGGCCTACATGACTTCTCTAAACTGCTGCCTCTCCATCTCAGACAACAAGGTGCAGGGCTGGATGAACACAGCAGGCCAAGCAGCATCATAGGAGCAGAGAGGCTGACGTTTCGGGCCTAGACCCTTCATCAGAAAAAAAAAAGCTCTCTGCCTCTCCATCTCACTTCCCTCTTTTAAAACACTCCTTAAAACAAACTTTTTTGATCACCCATTTCACCATCTGACTTAATATTTCCTTGGTACCATTCCTTGATTTATAATACACTTGTGCAGCACCTAAGGAGGTTTTATAATGTTAGTGATGTTAAATAAGTAGTGGTTGTTGTTGCTTCTGATCTGTTCATAATCCCTGTTGCCATCCTATCACTGCTCAGTGTTCTGAGTAAAGATTCACTCATGAATGCCTAACAAAGATTACTCTTCCCAGATGACTGGGTCAGCAAAACTTAAACAGGACAATGCAGACACTGAGAAATAGAAGCTTAAAATGAATTTTCTGGGGCTTGATTACACCCACTGGTGCTACAGATGATGTGGAAATAAATCTGTGTTCAAATTCCTCTGTTTAAGGATCCAGAGTTTACTACTCAACAACTGGTCTTGACCCTTCTATCTGCAAAACAATGAATATGAACTAGTACAGCTGACTGCAACTTGTTCCCACCCTGTTTACTATTCACTACCTACAGTAGATCCAATGAATAACAATAGGTCTGAAAACTCCAGCAATTAGCCCTCCCCCATCATTCCCAGCCTGGATAAACCAGCGAACATTGTCACACTACTAACCTCTGCCTCTTTTGAGACAGTTTAACTCAACCAAGAGCAGGGTAGGTGGGGAGTTGATGGCCTAGCAGTATGAGCGCTAGACTATTCACCCAGAAAACTCTGCCAATGTTCTTGGGACACACATTCAAATCCTGCCACAATAGTTGGTGGAATTCTTTTTCCAATAGAAAGATTAGGCTCACTCACCACAGGTCAATGTAACAAAAAGAGTTTTATCCGTGTATATTTCCGCTGTGTGCTCCTCGTTGATCAGCACTCTATGCAACTAACTGAGAAAGTGAGGGAGCCCCAAACATAGGCTATTCCAACTTGTGAAATTTCCTATAATACCAGATCTGATCATTTTGCTATATTGCCCTCTCTGCTGCTGAAGTTAGCACAATAATGTCTCCCCGTGCTGAGCATGTGTTAATCTTAATTGCTGTAACACACAATGCAACAACATGTTATTTATAGCCTGATTTTACTTGGCATTTCAGAAGCCCCTTGCTCTGGATCAGGATAGTATGATCCTGTGTGACCGGGAACTTCGAGTGGAAAAAAAAATCCTGTTTGAGTAAGTGCCACATTGTCATTTGACTAATACCAAACGGTGCTGATAGGCTATTTGTGACCCGGCCAGTGAAAAGACTGGAGAGATTTTTGGAGATTAAATTTTGCTTGGTAATTCCAGTGCTTTTGTTTTGGACACTACCTATATCTTTAAGGTTCTATAAACGTGGCTCATGTATTTACAATTTTGATGCACGCTGACAATTAAGTGTGAGTGTGCACACACTTAACTTCCACACAAAATATGCAGGGCAGGCAGATTTTGATGCCAGTGTGCCATCTTGGTCATAGGGCTGATTAAGAGTTGAGCAGAGCACCCACCAGTGCTATCTTAATACACTGAAAAGGTGACTCTTCTGAGTTTTCACATCACTTGTCAACATTTTGGAAATCTCCAAGTAGCAAAATCACGACCACAGGATCTAACAGAGAATGGTCTGGAGATATCCCGGGGCCTAGGGCAATTCACAAAGCATAGATAATCTAAAAACAATCACTGTGCAATGGGACATTTTGAGCCCAGAAGGCCACTCTGGTTAGTTTGCCAAAGCCAAGAACATCATTTGAAGTGCATTTTGTGCAATGTAAATCAAATAACAGTACAATACCATCCAGAAATAGTAGGAACTGCCGGTGCTGGAGAATCTGAGATAACAAGGTGTAGAGCTGGATGAACACAGCAGGCCAAGCAGCATCAGAGGAGCAGGAAAGCTGATGTTTCAGGTCTAGACCCTTCTTCAGAAATGAGAACACCATTTCTGAACAAGGGTCCAGACCCGAAACGTCAACTTTCCTGCTCCTCTGATGCTGCCTGACCTGCTGTGTTCATCATGCTCTACACCTTGTTATCTCAGTACAATACCACCGCAAACTTTATTCAAACTTAACCCACTGAACTAAGTATCTTACCCACCACCATTAAACATATCTCACGTTGGTGCCCACATCAAATTGGCCTTGGTCTGCCCACCACACCTTGGCGCTGGGAGTGGGTGAGGGATGTCCTTGGCTTGTGCTGTGTGGCATTGTGTAGTTTTCATCTGTCACTGAGCATTTACAGAAGCTCCACCGAAGTGATTGTCACCTACTTCAGCTTTTTGCTGAGTAAATTCTGCTGGCTGCCGATAACTGATCTGCATCTGTCTAAAGCCTTCCATATCATTATCTCAAGTTTCAAAAGTCTGCAACAAATTAGTGTGTCAGGTGCTGAAGGACCATCGCTGACCCCAAGGACTCTCAATACATCAGGGGTGGCACAGTGGTTAGCACTGCTGCCTCACTGTGCCAGGGACCTGGGTTCAATTCCAGCTCTGTGTGACTGTCTGTGTGGAGCCTGCAGGCTAGGTGGATTAGCCATGGGAAATGTGGGGTTACGAGGATAGGGTGGGGTTAGTAGGTCTGGGCGGGATGCTCTTTGGAGGGCTGAATGGCCTTCATCTGTACGGTAGGGATTCTATGATTAGTTGCTCCCTAATATGGGTGCTCGGAGACTGAAGAGAGACTGCACAACTTAAGGTGGCACAGTGGTTAGTACTGCTGCCTCACAGCACCAGGGACCTGGGTTCAATTCCAGCCTCAGGTGACTGTCTGTATGGAGTTTGCACATTCTCCCCGTGTCTGCGTGGGTTTCCTCTGGGTGCTCCGTTTTCCTCTCACAGTCCAAAGATGTGCAGGTTAGGGTGGATTGGTCATGCTAAGTTGCCTGTAGTGTCCAGGGATGTGTGGGTTTGGTTGGATTAGCCATGGAAAGTGCAGGGAGGGGGAGTGGTGACTGAACCTTTGTTCAATGCTCTTATGAGAATTGTTGTGACGAATGGCCTGTTTCCACACTGTAGGGATTTTAGGATTCTATGCAGAGCATGCTTCTTGAAGAAGGATGAAGATGAGAAATTGGTAGGGGCAAAGAAGCTGCAACCTATTCTAACTGGGCTTTAGTTGAAGTGAGATCCCAGTGACCTCAACCTGAATTCTCTGATCCCAACAGTTCCACATTCCTTAACTTTCCTCGGTCACTAAGCGTTGTACTGTTATCTTTGCCATAATGCATAACAAAAAGAAACAACGCAAATTAACTATTCCAATCAAAGGTAGCGGTGGAGGTTAGATAGACCTGAGGTTTAGGGCAAAAGTCCGGCACAACATCGTGGGCCGAAGGGCCTGTGCTGTGCTGTACTGTTCTATGTTCTAATCCAAATTTATGAATGGAATCATGCCATATGTCACACAAATTTAACCTGAAAAGTTTCCTGTATTCCCTTGGTGCTCGTGTTCTCTGTGCCTGTGTGACATGTCATTGTGTTTCTGTGAGGTTGCTGTGTGCCTGACTTTCAGTAGAGGAGATGGCTTAGGATCTAGTACTGGACCTACTCTGGGCTTCAGACAGCACCACCCTGGCATAGGCTACAGTAATCTGGCCTGACTCACATACAAATGCATGGCCGTGTAGCAGATGAGGGATAGCACAGTGGCTCAGTGGTTAGCACTGCTGCCTCACAGTGCCAAGGACCTGGGTTCAATCCCAGCCTCGGGTAACTGTCTGTGTGGAGTTAGCACATTCTCCCCGTGTCTGTGTGGGTACTGTCTGTGTGTTCTGGTTCCATAGTCCAAAGACGTGCAGACTATGTGTATTGGCCCTAGTAAATTGTCTCAGGGTGTGCAGGTCAGGGATGGGCTATTGGGCAGGGTCTGGCTGGTATGCTTTTTGAGCAATCGGTGCAGACTTGATGGGCTGAATGGCCTCTTCATGCACTGCAGGGATTCTATCATCTATAAAGCTGTCACCCTGAGACAGGACAACAGGTTGGTGCTCCACAGGACCATGGGAGTCTCCCAGGCCAGCACCTCAAAGACTTGCTGCCATGGCCTTTCACAAGCCCCTTAAAACACTATAAGCTATAGCCCTGATGACAGCAGTCTGGACTTTCAGCGTGCCATTCCAAGGAAGCTGCTTTTACTGAGACGGAAGCTGCAGCACTCCCGTCACAGTCGGGTGAGCAAAATCCCCATTACAGCTAGGTCCACAAGTATCTTGATGGAGCACCATTCTGGAAAGGATAGGCTCCAACATGTGTGGAAAGCCCTTTGCTGAGTTACTGTCAGTCTTCACCACACTCCTATGATAGGATTGAACCCAGGCTTTTTACAATGCAGTTCCGGTGTGTACTTTCATCAGAACTTTTTTCTGCAGCCTGAACATGGGGGCAACCTCAGTCTCCAGCAATCTGCCATTTGCTCTTGTCTTGTCCCATCCAAAGTTTTTTTTTGATTCATGAAGCATTTCCTAGGATTAAAAAAATAGTAGGTATGTCATTTTGCTGTGAGCAACTCAGGAAGAAGCAATAATGTTCAGCAAGATGCACTTAGAGTCATGTTGTTAAAACAAGGATTTCTTCATCCTTCCCCTCAACACTCTCTGCTGGTACATTTGAATGATAGCCTTTAGCAGATGAAATGCAAAATGCAATTTTCAACTCACCGTGTCACTATTGAGGAAAGGTATGAACAGGAAACCAGTTTGTTGAGCACCTCGTGTTGGGAAATAACTAAATGAAGGATACAGTGACAGAACATCTTATAAATCTTCAGCTAATCAGAATAGATTTGATAATGACAAACCTGATTGAGGTTTTTGAAGATTGACTGAAGTAGTGAATAGAGTGAATGAAGAAATATGTTGACTGCTTGCAAGTATTCAATAAAGTCCCTCATAAGAGATTGCTAGTTAAAGGTGAAACTTGTAGAATTGTAGGTAAATTTTTGTTCTGGTTAGGATATCAGCCTAAGTGGAGAGAGTCAGGATAATTATCACGTGATCCCATTTTCAGAATCTGAAGCATTGGATCCTGAACTATTCACTCTATTTGAAAGATAACGTTGGTCAGGACATTAGGCATTGCCCTGCTACTCTATCATTGAGTAATGGGATTCTTCCCTCATATCCTCCTGACAGCATAGCTGCCTCCTCACTTCATTTTCCTGTCTGATAGGGGAGAGGCTGTCTCCAGCACTTAGTCCTCCCTTAACGCAGCATTAGAATGTCAATCTAGATTAATGTGCTTAAGATCTGGAGCTGGATTTGAACTCATGATCCACTGACTTAGGAGCATGGGTACTACCAACTGAGCTGCAAGCTACCTGCAACTTGGCTTGAGAGAGGATCATTAATGCCTCTTCCCCAACTTGTATTCCCTTTGAGGACCAACCGATTACGGAGGTTAAAGCTGTCCAGGTTGTATTCCAAACTGCTGCTCTGATGCTGCCTGGTCTGCTGTGTTCCTCCAGCTCCACACTATGTTATCTATAACATGAAACAGCGATGTTTAAGGGGTATTTTGTAGCGTGTTGACTCTCACTCATCTGTACTCTCTCACTTTGATTCCCTTTCAGGTTGGAACTTGTTCCAGTCAATCGAAAACTTTGGGTGACGGCTAGACCTACCAAAACTGTGTCCGAGGCTTTGCATCCATTTCTGATCAAATATAACTTAAGTACCAATGAGGTGGAGGCTAAAATTGTAGGTATTAACAGGTCGAAATGAAAGAATTTGCATTTGTAAAGCACCTTTCACACATCTGCCAGACAGTATTTGTTTTGAAGAGTAATGACCATTGTAATGTAGGATACTTGACAGCCAAGTTGAAAGTTCTATGATCCCATGAACAGTAATTAAATGAAGATCAGATAGTTGACTTTAGATGATGATTGAGAGATAAATACTAGTTAAGATCAATTTGGCTTTGACTGGTGATCTCTTATTTCCAATTGAGAGGGCAAATAAAGCTGGGAGGGATGGTGGAATAGTGGTAATGACACAGGACGAGTAAACCAGGGGCCTGGGTTAATAGATAAGGGATATGGCTTCAAATTGCACCACTGCATCTGATAACAGTTAAATTCAATTAACAGATGAATCCAAAACTGTCATCTAAAAACCCATGTGGTTCACTATTGTCCTTTTAGGAAAGGAAATCTGCTGTCCTTATATGATCTGGCCTAGCTTATATGTGGACTCCAGAATCATAGTGATGTGGTTAATTCTACACTGCCATCTGAAAGGGTCTCAGCAAGCTGTTGGGTTCAAGATCAGTCAGGGATAGGCCACCAATGCTGGCCCCGATCTCTGGGCTAGAAGAGCTAGGTTCAAATCCCACTTGCCCCCTGGAGATCTGAACATGTGAATTAAAAATAACTTGCACTCAAACATCTACCTAGATTGCATGGCCGTTTTCCTGAGTGGGTCTTGAATTTAAGAGTCCTCCCCTATAAACAATATTGCCTTTTGAAGTTCTAGTTTTTTCCCTTATTGCCACTAAAACTTGACAAGTTCTGCCATTGGCCATTGCTCAGATCCTGAGTTTGTCTGGGTTATTCTGACCTTGCTGCATGGTTATGTCATGAACATATGTTCCCTATCATGTGTAACCACGTGATCCCCTGGGAGAGGTGACAATCCAGGTTAAAATCCAAAGGTCTATTTTACGTTGGGAGGGGGGGCAGGAAATAGGACATTTGTTTCCAAACACCCCACTCCAATAGCCAGACAATCAAAATTAGTCCTGTCGATCACTCGCGTGTTGATAATTCTGCAACTCTACCTTCTGTAAGAGGCAGTTCCTGATCTGTTCCAGGTCCAGCTCTTGAACAAACTATTAAAGTGTCAAAATGCTCATACTCAGACTCTGAGGTTATTCCAGGTTGCTGAAAGCAGTTTGGCCGCACACTCTGATAGAAAAGCTTTCACCGGAAGGCTGTAGAATGGCCTAGTGAATTATTTCCTTTAATCTGTGTCTAAACAGAGCGGAGAGTCCCAGCCTTTAAAACTGGATGCCACTGTGTCCTGCCTGGAAAATCAACAAGTGATCCTGGACAAGATAAAAATACCCGAGCAAGGTACGCATGATGCGGAGATCGTTTTCCTGGTTCAGTTTTGGTTTATTCACGCACAGGATGTAGGCATTGCCGGCGTGTATATTGTTGTGGAGAAAGTAATGATGAGCTCCCCTCTTGAAGTGTTGCTGTCCTTGAGGTGTAGGGACACCCACATTACTGTTATATAGAGGGAGATCCAGGATGTTGACCCAGCAACAGCGAAGGAATAGCGATAGAGTTCCAAGTAAGCAGAATGATGTGTAGTTTGGAAGGGGACTTGGAGGCGATGATGGTCATGGAGTTGTAGAAACCTACAGCACAGACTGGGTCATAAGAGGTTGAGGGGTGACCTTGTAGGAGGTTTATAAAATCATGACGGGCACCGATAAAGTGAGTTGCAAAGGTCTTTCCCCCAGCATGGGAGAGTTCAACACGGGGTCATATTTTTAAGGTGAGAGGAGACAGTTTTAAAAGGGGTCCTGAGAGACGACTTTTTCACACAGAGGGTGGTGAGTGCGTGTGTATGTATGTGTAAAGAACTGCCAGAGGAAATGGTAGATGCATGTACAGTTGTAACATTTAAAAGACATTTGCACAGGTACATGAACAGGAAATGTTTAGAAGGATATGGGCCAAATGCAGGCAAATTGGACTAGTTTAGTTTGGGAAACTTGGTCACCATGGCCAAATTGCATTGAGATCTGGGTGTACTGGTACATGCATCACAAAAAGTTAGTTTGCAGGTATGTACAGGCATTGATTGAGGCAGATATTAAGAATCCCTGGCTAATTTCTTCCTCCCTCATTTCTGACTCCAAACTACTGAGGTAAATTATCCCAATAAGACCATTTTCCAGCTGAAGTGAGATAGCTCAGTGCAGCTAAATGTTAGGAGCTGGGATCAGCTAGATCTATAGGGATACTACTACATTGAGTGGTTCACTTACAGACTGAGAGCAGTTGTGCTATGCATTCTAAGTAACCATCTTTCTGTGAGAGGACTCATAATTGGATGATGAAACTTGCTTTCTGCTTCTTATTGTGTGTGTGAGTCACCACATACCAACTCTAAATGTTAAACAGCCAAACAACTGTAAATAACAGTTCCTACAGAGCTGACCTTTCATTGGCCAGCTCTGATCAGGCAGCATTCCTCAGCAGCAACTTTAGATCTGTACCTTCAATTGTTGAATTCATTTTTTGTTAATATCACTTCCTGGAGCCTTTATCCATTTAGATCTTGATGAGTGTTGTTCTAAAATGTCCAATGTGAAGAATGGATTCAGCTTGCATATGACTCAATCGTGAACTGCAAATTCAGGATGAAATCTATTTTTGCAAAGATTGACATGGCTGCACAGTGGGTTGGAAATACAAACCAGTGTGGCCATGTCAGAGAAAAATAGTTGTTTCATTTCTCTGTTTCACCTCCTGCCAGACAGCTGCACCAACAACATTGAGAGTGTACAGGTATGGCCTGATGTGTAGGCAGAGTCCAGGGTTTGGGTGGGGGTGTTTCCCTATTGTTACATGGTGAGCCTTGCTTTAAAGTCAGATCTGATCTGTGATACCTTGGGTAGATTTGCTGCCAACTGTTCTTCTTGCTGATATTAATCTAAACTACTAATTCCATATGGGGACATTCTAGGCGAAGATAGGTTCAATTTTTTTGAACAGTAAATATGTTTATTCTACATTACTTAATAGCTGCTTATATTAGATCCAAGATTGTCTCTTATGAGACAGCAGGTTCAACCTAAGAGTACACATTCCTACTTCAGTTATGTGCTGTAAACACTCGGAACAGCAACTCAGCAATTGGCTAACTCCTCCCAGGAACCTAACAGCTAGAGCTTTTCTTGTGATTTTAGTAAACCTTTTCAGGTTCTGTCTGCTTTGCACAAGCCTATAGTCTGCACCCTTCTTTTCCTGCTGCATTCCCAGACTATAGGAGCTTTCTTCATTTGGCCAAATTTTGTAACCCTCCCTTACCCTCTGTTCATCTCCTGTAGCCATTCACAACCCCTTTGTACCCACCTGGTGTTTTGATAATTGTACCAACATTTTGTATCGCACTTTTGATTCCTTTTGCCATTCAGTCACTCCTTCCTTAACTCCAGTGGTGCTTAAACCCTTCCCTGTGCAGCCCACGGTGCAGGCCAAAAGATCCCATGGTTCCCCATTCACTTAGCACTGTAAAAAGACTTACCACAGTTGATGGAAACTTGTGGAAACAAAGAATAACTATTTCACTGATCTCCTGTGACTAAATGTAATAAATATGTGCATTTGTATTAAATATTGTAATTGCATTATCCATTCATGCCAGAAACAAAATTATAGATATTCTCAGATTCCAAGCATTAATGCCAGGCAGCATGTTTGTCTGGTTAAAATTCTAACCATAAAAACATCACAATAATCATCTTCGGGGAAAATAATACTTTTCTTCGACGTATATTAGACAGATAAAATCAATACTGATGTAAATCTTAGTTATAAATCTACATTGTTATTGCTCTGGTTTAGAACTGACTCGCACAGTTACAAGAAGTCACGTCAGTGTAGGGTGAAGGTTCTGGTGTCTCTTAAATGTCCTCCACCATGGCATGATGTGGCATGACCAATAATCTGCTGGCCACATTTTGAAAACCACTGCTTTACTCTTTAATGGTGATTCCCTTTTCGTTTTCGTTCTTCTCCTCCTTTGCCTCTGGCTTTGCATTAGCTTAATAACTCTTCACCTTCAATATTTTCTCATTGTGGTGGATGGCCATCAAACCTGAAACGTTAATGTTTAACTCACAGATGTTGCCAAACCCACTGAGTGATTTTCAGCATTTTCTGATTTAATTCCTTATTTCCCAAGTGGCTCTGTTGGAACATAAACTTTCTATTTTCTCTCACACATCATTGTACTTCATTGCCTGACTTTGGCAGGAGCTAGGAAAGTGAACTATCCATTCAGTCTATCTGCAAATGAACAGCTATTAATCAAATCTGCTTCAATGCTTAAAGCTAAGAGAAGTTACCTGATATAAATCTGCTTTTCTTTTGGGAGAAATAAAAACCTTTGAATTGCTACCTGACAAGCTTTCTTGAAGATTTTGATCTATGCTGGACTATTGACCTATTCTAACACCCTCCTATTTCTTCAAGTGTAAGGGTGACAATGAATATTAATGGGCTATTCTATCATGGAAGGCATCATCACTTTCATTGTAGGAGTAAAAGTTTACTAACAGATAGATTAAATCCTGTTCCTCACATAGCCCAGGATATGGAGGTTAAAGCAAAACCTGGGTTAACGTTTTAAAAATTAATTCATGGGATGAGGGCATTGCTGGCTAGGCAGCATTTATTGCTCATCCCTAATTGCCCAGAGGCCACATTGCTGTGGGTCTGGAGTCACATGTAGGCCCAGACCAGGTAAGGACGGCAGTTTCCTTCCCTAAAGGGCATTAGTGAACCAGATGTTTTTTTTTCCCCAACAACCGACAATAGATTTACAGTCATCACTAGACTCTTAATCCCAGATATTTATCAAATTCAAATTCCACCATCTACCATGGCGGGATTCAAACCCGGGTCTCCAGAATGCTATCTGGGTCTCTGGATTAACAGTCCATGGATAATACCACTAGGCCATCTCCTCCCCAGTTTTGCCTCTCATGTGCATCAGGATAAGATTCTCCAGGTTCCTTTTGTACTGTACCCATAATAACAACCCTCTACTCCTCCTCTCGCAAATGTCAGCGCACAATGGGGAGAAACCCTCATCCTGACAGAATAGCCGTGCTTAATCATTGAAATGATTAATTGTTTATAAAAAGCATCAATCTGTTCTATGAGTAACCCCCAAAGACCTAAATCATCTGTAAGCATTCATATCCTCTGGGTGAATCCTTCCGTATGGATGCCACTAAAATCAATTGCAAAATTTTCCACCTGCCTGAATTCAGCTACCTTTGCATGGACAGTGAAGTAACTGCACAGAGACCAGTATCCTGTCACCAAGTCACCCTTTACTTACATGCACACAGTACACTGGCTGTGACCAGCCAACTCAGAGTCAGTCACTAAAGTGAGGAGATTCGGAATCCCCTGTTTATATCTGTCAGCCAGGGCTCCCTGATTGGCCCAGGTTAACAACACCAATCAAGGATCTAATGGTCAAAAAGCTCTTCCTGGCTCCAATCAGAGAATCAAAGATATGGCTTATCAATACATTGAAAACTAGTCCATAAAGGGGTGGCAAACACGCCATAAATAATATGGCCATTTTGATAAAATCATGAAGGGTGAAGCTGAAGGAAGCCTTAGGCTGCCGGTAAGCTCAATGGTTCAGATGTTCCAGTTCTTACAGAATTGATTGTGATAGAGACACGAGATTGATGAACGGTATAAGTTAAACGGTGGAATGTGAATGTAATCTGACTATATCCCTTGTACACCATCTCCAATTCTGGTTGTTAAGACACAACAGAAAAATTTATGTCTTAGAGACGGTGATATTAAAACCAGAACATTGATTTTTAGCTTTAAGTTGAGTTCCAAGGTAAAAATGGAGTGACATGGGATCTTCATTCTTGAACGGAGCGAATTCAGAGGTAGTTATATGGAAGGACACAAGAAAGTATGGGACAACTAAAGCCAGGAAGTAACTTCAAACTGATGGCCTGGACTACATGTGACTCCAGACCCACAAAAATATCATTAACTCTCAACTGCCCTCTAGGCAATTGGGAATGGAAAATAAATGCTGGCCTAGCCTACAATGCCCTCGTCCTGTGAAAAGATAACAATAGTGCATGGAGTCAAAGGTTAATAACAGTTGATGGCAAATTTAGGACTGATGTCAGGATATAGTTCACCCAAAATGGTGTCAGCCCATGGATTGGACACTGAATTGAATCCTGGAGGTGAAAGTCCGAGAAACATTTAAAGTTAAATTGAACATTGGAGTAGGCAGTCTGGGCCAGCCATTCTAGCTGAAGGAAGTGAGATGGCCTATAAGCCTTATCTCTACCATAATGAGCTCATAAATCTCAGTGCTTTCTAACCATTAATTTTGTTTCAATTATTGACAGGTCATCAAGAGGAGAGGAAGAGTTCCAACCAATCATCGACTTGCCTTGTAAGTGGAGCAAATCTTGCCAAACTCAAAGGAGCTGTGGTTTGAAGCACCTTTACATTAGGAGAGAGTGTCCTTCCCGAAACATACATTTCTCTGAACATCAAGGGACCAATAGCAGCTGTAGACCACAACCATTTTGTGTTTACATTCTACCCTTAATGTACTGAAATATCTCATGGGATTATATCAGAAGGTCATTAATGTGACACCATTGTCACCTAAATAATTATAAAGACTGGCAACCAAAAGGTTGGTCAGGAGGAAATTTTTAAGGAATGTCTAAAGGAGAAGAGAGAGAGAGGTGGAGAAGTTTAGGAAAGAATTCCAGGGTTTAGGGATTAACGCTGAATGCTGCTCGGGCTGATCATGTTGGAAATTTTTTCCCTTCTTCACTCATGGGATGTGTGTCACTGGCTGGTCAGCACTTATTTCCCATCCCTAGTTCAACTTGAGAAGGTGGTGGTGAGCTGCCTTCTTGAACTGCTGAAGTCCATGTGCTGTAAATAGACCCACAATGTCATCAGGGAATTCCAGCAATACAAACAGAAAGCTCTGGAACAACTCAGTACATCTGGCAGCATATGTGGAGAGAAACACTGTTATCGCAGTGATCCAAGAAAAGGATGTGAATAAGACCAGAATTACAAGAATGTCAATATCTTGGAGGGGTGTGTGAGCTGGAGGAGATTAAAGAATCATGGAGGGGTGCAGGGGCTGGAGGAGATTAAAGAGTCAAGGGGATGTGTGTGAGCTGGAGGAGATTACAGAGACAAGGAGAGGTGTGTGGGCTGGAGGACATTACAGAGACAAGGAGATGTGTGTGGGCTGGAGGAGATTACAGAGTCAAGGAGATGTGTGTGAGCTGAAGGACATTACAGAGACAAGGAGAGGTGTGTGGGTTGGAGGAGATTACAGAGACAAGAAAGAGTATATAGGGCTGCAGGAGATTACAGAGACAAGGAGGGGTTTAGGGGTTGGAGGAGGTTGCAGAGATAAGGATGGGTCTAGCAGCTGAAGGATGTTACAGAGGTAAGGAGGGGTCAAGAGGCTGGAGTAAGTTACAGAGCTAGTGGAGGTTACAGAAATACAGGTGTAATGGCTGCAGGAGATGACAGAGATAGAAAGGGGTGTCAGGACTGAAAGAGTTACAGAGATAAGGAAGGCTTGAGGGAGATGAGGAAGTTATAGAGGTAATGCATGACATATGGATTGGAGGAAGTTAGAGACAGAGATGTAGGAATTGATGGAGATTACAAAGGTAAGGAAGGTTAGACCATAAGACATAGGAGCAGAATAAGGTCATTCAGCACCTTGAGTCTGCTCCATTTGATCATGGCTGATATGTTTCTCAACCCCATTCTTCTGCCTTCTCCCTGTAACCTTTGATCCCTTTACCAAACAGGATCCTCCTTTACTGGCTCCATCCCCGCCCCTTTGACCTGTCTGTTTCCTCTCCACCTATCTTCTCCTCTATCCATCTTCTATCATCACCTCCCCCTCTCTCCCTATTTATTTCAGAATCCCCTTCCCCTCCCCCATTTCAACCTGAAACTTCAGCTTTCCTGCTCCTCTGATGCTGCTTGGCCTGCTGTGTTCATCCAGCTCTACACCTTGTTATCTCCTATCTACCTCTGTCTTCAATGTACTCAGTGACTTAGTCTCCACAGCCTTCTGTGGCAATGAGCTCCACAGATTCACCACATTCTGTCCGAAGAAATTCCTCCTCATCTCAGTTCTGAAATTTCTGAGTCTGTCCCTCGGGGCATAGTCTCTCTTATTGGTGGAAACATCCTCTCCATGTCCACTCTATCCAGACCTCTCAGTATTCTATAAGTTTCAATCAGTTCCCCCTCATCCATCTAAACTCCATCGAGTACAGACCCAGAGTCCTGAACCACTCCTCACATGACAAGCCCTTCATCCCCAGAATCATTCTTGTAAACTTCCTCTAGACTGTCTCCAAGGCCAGCACATCCTTCCTTAGAAATGGACCCAAAACTATTCACAATATTCCAAATGCAGTCTAACTAGAGCCTTATACAGCCTCAGGAGTCCATCTCTCCTCTTGTATTCTGGTCCTCTTGAAATAAATACTAACATTGCATTTCTTTTCTGAACTGCCCACTGAACCTGCATGTTAACCTGAAGGGAATCCTGAACTCACATTCCTAAGTCCTTTCATGCTTCAGATTTTCAAAGCCTTTCCCCATTCAGAAAATAGTCTACACCTCTGTTCTTCCTACCAAAGTGTGCAACATCACACTACCTGTATCTTGCCCCTACCGCCATGGGCTGTTATAGCCTCCTGTGAGGCACCTTGTGAACGGCCTTCTGAAAATCCAAATAGCTCGTGTTTACTGGCTCTCCTTAGTCTAACTTGCTCATTACCTCCTCAAAGAATTCTAATAGATTTGTCAGGCATGACCTCCCCATACTGAAACCATGCTGCCTCCACCCTATTTTATCAGGCACTTCCAAGTACTCTGCAATCTCATCGTCAATAATGGTCTCTGAAATCTTACTAACGACTGAGGTCAGGCTAACCGGCTTATAGCTTCCTGTCTTCTGTCTCCCTCCCTTCTTAAACTAGGGTGTTACATTAACCATTGACCAGTTCTTTGGGACGCACCCCCCTCACCCGACTTCAATGATACCTGAAAGATAATCAAAAATGCCTCTACAATCTCTTCAGCTGTCTCCTTCAGAACTCTTGGGTGTAGTCATCAGATCTAGGTGAATTTTCCACCTTCAGACCTTTCAGCTTCCCTAGCACCTCAGTGATGGCCACTACACTCACCTCGGCCCCCTGATTTTCTTGAAGTTCTGGCGTGATGCTGGTGTCTTCCACTGTGGAAACTGATGCTATGTACCTATTCGGCTCCTCTGCCATTTCTTTCTTCCCTATTGCTACTTCTCCATCCTCATTTTTCTGCGGTCTAATGTCCACCCTTGCCTTTCTCTTACTTTTTAGATATCTAAAAGTACTCTTGCAATCATCTTTTATCTTACTAGCTAACTTACTCTCATATTTCATCTTCTCCCCCATTGCACTTTTAGTTGTCCTATCTTGGCCTTTAAAGGTTTCTCATCCTCTGGCTTCCCACTAATCTTCACCTTTTCTTTTGCTTTCATGCTGTCCCTGACTTCCCTTGTCAGCCATGGTTGTTTTGTCCTCCCCTTAGTAAGTTTCTTCTTCCTTATGATGAATTTCTGCTGTACCTCCTGAATTATCCCCAGAAACTCCTGCTATTACAGCTCCACGGTCTTCCCTGCTCGGCTCCCTTTCCAAACAACTCTGGCCATCTCCTCCTCATGTCTTTGTAGTTACCTTTACTCAATTGTAATGCCATTACATTTGATTTCAGCTTCTCTTCTACCATATACAGTCACTACCCCAAAAGGTAGCTTCACCTTAAGCTCTCTAATTAAGTCTGCCTCATTGCACATCACTAAATCCAGAATTCCCTGTTCCCCGTTGGGGTCTATGACAAGCTGCCCCAAAAAAACTTCTTGTAGACATTCCACAAATTCCTTTGCTTGGGATCAGCCACAACCCTGATTTTTTGCAGTCGACCTGTATATTTAGGCCCCCCGTGAATATTGTAATAGTGCCTTTCTTACATGTCATTTCTATCTCCTAATTTATTTTCTTACCCACATCATGACTACTGCTATGGGGCCTGTACATATCTCCCATCAGGGTCTTTTATCCTTTGTGTTTTCTCAGCTCTACCTGCACAGATTCTACACCTTCTGACTCTGTAATCACTTCTCGTTAGTGATTTAATTTCATTCCTTACAAACAAGGCAGCCCCTCCTTTCTGTCCATTTGCCTGTCCTTTTGATATGACCTGTATCCTTGGAATATAGAGTTCCCAGCCCTGATCCCTTTGCAACCACATCTCTGTGATACCCACAAAATCATACCCACCAATTACAATCTGTGCTACAAACTCATTTACCTTGTTTTGTATACTGCATACATTTAAGTACAGCACCCTCAATCCTGTGCTGACTGCCTTCCTCCTCACAGTTATCCCTTTATCTGCTGTGCCTAAGGTTAGATTCCTGATCCTTTCTGCACTCTCCGTCCTTTTACTTGTTCAGGTTGTCAGGACTGTAGGTGTTTACAGAGACGGGGAGGATTGTCACGGCTAGTGGAGTTTACAGAGATAAGGAGGGGTGTAGAGGCTTGTGGAATTTACAGAGATAGGGAAGGGCAAGAAGTTGCCAAGATTTGAAAGAAAAGGATGAAATTGAAAACCAAGATATTGCCAGGTGAGGACTCAAAGCAAGATAAGTGAGTGCAGAAGTGATAGGAGAGCCTGAGTTAAGATATTGGCAATAGAGTTTTTGAATGAGGTCAAGTTTGCAAACAGATGGAGGATGCCATAGAGTGTTTGTGATGTAACCCTGCCAACGGTTCACCCTCTGTTTGAGTAAGGCACTCCACAGGGAATGTGCTCAATGGAGCAGTGGTTTTGCAGAGGCTGAGGGGTAAAGTTCATTTTGTTGAAGGTGTGCTGATTTCTCCAAATCTCCGATCAGCAGAAGCAAGGTGAGATATCCACAGAGAGAAGAGAACCCTTGGAGAGTCCGGTCCACTCATCCCAGACCTCGAGGAGAAATAGATTGAAAGGAAAAGCTGAAGAGAAGAAGGAGCTGAACCGCAAGACTTATGATGTAGAAGGTAAAAGATAAAACTCAATAAATTGCCCAAATCTCAACCCATTAAGGGACAGGAATGGAAAAGGGAGAAACAGAGAGGGTCAGGAATGTGGAGGAATCATGCAGTTCCTGCTGCATAGCAGATTGCAGGATGGTAGCTATCATTCTGATTTCCAGGGTAAGCCAAATGATCAATGATGGGAGCAGGGATGAGGTGAGAGACCATGTGATGCAACATCTTGGAGTATAATCCAACTGGATTTGACAACTTAAAGGGTACAGGGAGAGCATAGAGGAATGGACAACTGTCAGTGGTGGAGCCGACCCACTGAGGGGCTAGGAGATGGTTCTTTGGCAGTTTCTCTTGAGTGGGTTGGCTCTAACATGTAGATATGAAGCAAAATCAGAAATTTCTGGGAAAACTCAGCGGGTCTGACAGTTTCTGTGGAAAGAAAGCACAGTTAATATTTTGGATCCAGTGATCCTTCTTCAGAACTGATTGTAACTAGAAAAAGGTTGGTATACATGCTGAATATGGGATGGGGATGAAGGAGAAGGAATAAACAATAAGGAGTAAACTCTTCATAGATGTTGCCAGGTCTGAGTTTTTTCAGCAATTTCTGATTTCGTTTCTGACTTCCAGCATCTGCAGTCCCTTGCTTTATTTTTGTCTAATGTAGATATGAGCTGTATTATTGGAGAGTCTAAGGTTCAATCCTGCACTGTGCAGTTAACAGAACCTATACAGTGGTGCAGTTACTATTGTTAGATTCAGTATCCCCTTGAATGAGGAAGAGAGGTAGCTCTATTCGTTCTTTTTTGATTCTCACCTTCAGATGGAGAGAGTCGCTTGTGCACTAGAGTTACGATGTGACTGCTTGTTTGTGTCTCTTTTCAGCCCTGTTTGAGATGTTGTCCAAAGCACAGAACTGCCGCGCTGATGATCAGCGAGGCCTCTTGAAGAAGGAAGATTTGGTCCTCCCAGACTTCCTACAGCTTCCAGAGGAACTGGCTGGCATCAGTCTTCAGACATCTGAACCAGACACCGGCAGTGAGAAAGGTGCCAAAAGTCATACCCATCCGGAGAAAAGTCTTACTGAGAGTGAGCAGGTACCCGGAACTCCAAATGAGAAACCAACACCGAATATCTTCGTGTTACAGGACACAGAACAAGAAGAGTCGAATGAACGGAACAGTCTATGCCCCCGAACAGTTCTCTAACAGTGACGAGACAGTACATCGGTGGCCTGCAGACCACCAGGTTGTAAAACAGGGCCGACTCAGAGCAGCTTCTTCAGCTGTTCCAGTTTCCCCATCAATGGGACCAAAAGACCATGCTCAGCAGGGCAGGATTTCCCTAAACCCTGCTGAGTCCCAATGAGCCAACACTGCCAATTCCCTCAGCTATGTGTCTGATGAAACAGCATTGGTGGCAGAACTGCATTTTACATCGGGGGAGTGGGAGGGGTCTGTTCCTTCTGTGATTCTATCGATTCTAGGTTCAAGGGACTTTGCAGAACTGAAGCTGTGAACGAAATCATGTTGGAATGTGGAGAATATTGGATCTCAGGGTAGCACCGTCTGAATGGTCCCCATCTCTTCATGATTTATCTATGGTTCGCTATTCGTCTAATGCTGCTGAGTGAACTTAGAGAGAACCAGCCCAGGTTTTACTTCTGAACACATTTGCATTCAGAGAACTGTGCCCTTGGTCATGGAGGCAGTCTGACTCTGTCATATACACCTGGATCTATGATATAGGCTGGGGACTGACTGAACATCGTTAGAAGCATTTCCTGGATTGTTCGCGAAGGGACTTCATCACCTCAACTGATGCACTTATTCATTTTCCAATTTGTTTACATATATCTGTCATTGTTATCTTTGTGAGACTTTGCTGTTTATGTAACTAAATGTAACTAAAGAATGTGGGCCTCAGGGCAATGCAATGAAATGTCCAGCTCCAAATCAGGGTACATTCACCTACAGTACAGCACCAAGTGGTCAGGCAATGATGATAAACAAATAATTTAGGGATGGACTAAAGTTATTATGACAACCTGCACCTTCAGGAACCGTACAATGAGCCGATAAAGCTATGTGTGAGGTTGTATGGCTTTGTGTGCATGTGTGTGCGAGAGAGGTTATATCGTTGTGTGTCAGGTTGTATAGCTGAGTGTGTCAGATGTTATATTGCTGTGAGTGTGTGAGGCTATATAACTAAATGTGTGAGGATGTGTGGCAGTGAGTGTGAGTGAGAGAAAGGTTATAGAGCTGAGTGTATGTGAGAGGTTATCTAGCTGTGAGTGTTTGTGTGTGTGTGAGGCTATGTAACTGTGTGTATGAGAAGCTGCATGTGCGAGGGGTTCTATAGCTTTGTGTGTGTGTGTGCATGTGTGTGCGTGCGTCTGTGCGCACGTGTGTGTGTGTGAGTGAGAAAGAGAGAGAGAGATTATATATCTATGTGTGCGTGGTTACATATAGCTGTGCATGTGTTTGAGAGATTATGTGTGTGTGTGTGTGTGTGTCTGAATGCTTGTACAGAGTTTGGCCAACATTTCATGTTTCATCACAAAAATCTGCTATGCCCATTGTGGAGGGGCAATTGTATCTGACAATGCTGGTACTTTTGCTCATCACTTGCTTTTCTGTGATGTTGATAACAAACCTTCAAAACATGAGGTGATTTAACATAATTAATTGATTTAGCCTGTTCAGTGTCAAATCATTGGTGTGAGACTGGAGTCACATTTGACTAGACCGGACTGATGATGGGTTCCTGTTCTAAAAGGTGGGGAGTGTTCATGACAATGAAGCAGTTTCAGGATTGTATTGTTGCTGCCAGTTTTCTCTCTTTAGACTCTGTTCCAGTTTTATTCTATATCCTGTCACAACCATATTCCATACTTTGACTGGATTTTGTGTCCGTGATATCAAATAAAACTGGAATGCAAGGCATACACAGTGAGGAAAAGAAGGAGATAGAGAGTGAGTGACGTTACAGCAGTTAGGTCTAAGTAATTCTAACACTTCTTTCCACGCTAAAGTATCTTTTGTCAATCTAACTTAACAGGGTCTTCATTACTGGCACTAACTGCCATCTATTTATTTCTTAGTTTACTTAAAATAATGAGAAAAGGCTATTCATTGATGTAACTTTCCAGACAGTAACTGCCACCAGGTGTTTTACAGAAATATTGTTCAATGATTGAAATTAAACAGTATGGTTTGTTAAGATTTCTCTTTCAAAAGTATTAAAACTAAATTGCCCAACACTTAATATCACTGCTAATCTGTGTGGCCAGCCTATTGTCTCATTTTTAGACATTTTCAGTGCTAGTCATTCACCATTTTGATAACCTTAGAAACTAGAGAAAACTTTGTATACAGTATTTCTCCCTCTCTCCGTTTCTCACATTCTTGCTGCTGCTCCATCAGTCTTTGTTTTTTCTCCCTCTGTCTCTGTCAGCAATATGCTGGACCTCTCTTTCTCTCACTCAGGATTTTACTGTATTAACACTTTGTTTTGAACTCCACCTGTTTCTGTCTCCCTCAATATGTATCTCTCTTTTACTCCTTCTTTCTCTAAGTATCTGTCCCTCTCTATCATTATCTCTCTTGCTATATTTTGCTGTTTCTGACTCTCATATCCATCTTCTCCTGATCTGTATCCTTCCCCTCACTCTGTAGTTTTCTCTCCCTATCTCTGTTTTTTTTTTCTATTTTCATCTCCTTTTGAGCTACCTTCTGTCTCTTCCTCTACCTCTCTATTATTTTCTTTTGCCTCTGACTGTGTTTTCTTTTATCTTTCTTTCTCTGTTTACCTTGTTATATCTCTACATCTTTTTATCTCCTCTTCAATTTCTTGCATTCCTCCCATCTGTATCTTTTTCTGTCACTGTTCCTTTCTGCATGTTCCTATGTATCTGTCCGTCACTGTCCTTCTGTGTCTCACTGGCTTTCTTACTCTCTTCTCCTCACCCTTTCTCTCTCCCTCCCCCTCTCTATCCACTTTTTATGAGGTATCTTGCTCCTCTTAAATTTGAAAATTGGACATCATTCCACTGTAAGAATAAGGAGCTTGGGAATTGTAAACCAGTTCGCTTCACATCCATGTCAGAAAAACACTAAAGATGGAATGATTAATTCATGACTGGAGAGATCTATGAATAATTTGTAAAAGGGGTGTCCTGCCCGATGAATTTAATTGAATATTTTAAAGAGACGACTAAGATAGTTAGCAGGAGAATGCTTTGAATGTCGGACATATGGACTTCTAGAAGGCATCTAATAAGATATTTTATCATGAACTGTTAACTAATGTTGAAGCTCAGAATTGAATGCAAGTTATCGACCTGGTTACAAAAAGTAGCTGCATTTTGGGAGACAGAGCAGGGATAATGGATAGGTCGTCAAATTGGCTGCATATGACTATTGATATCACACAGGGACTTCAACTATTCATCGTACTTACAAAGACTTAGATAATGGGATAGAAAGCCACGAAGCCAGCTTTTTGTGTTGAAGCAGCAGTAGGTGGCCTTGTGAGCTGTGCAGCTGGAAGAATAACAATTCAGATAAGGATGAATTAGGTGAATGTGCAAAAATGTGGCACTTTGATGTTGATGGAGCCGTATGTAAGGACATCTACTTTGGTCCTAAAAAAAAAATGATAAAAAGTGAAAAAACAGTGAGGATTACACTGGACACTCTATTTACATGGATTGTTCAAATATCATAGAATCTCTACGACATGGAAGTAGACCATTCAGTCCATTGAGTCCACACTGACACTCTGAAAAGCATTCCACCCAGATTCACCCTATCCCTGCATTTCCAATGGCTAAACTGCCTAGCCTGCACACCTTTGGATAATATGGGCAATTTAACATGGTCAATTCACCCTAACCTGCACGTCTTTGGACTGTGGGAGGAAACTGGAGCACCCGGAGGAAACCCACACAGACACGGGGAGAATGTGCAAACTCCATGCAGACAGTTGTTCACAGGTGGAATTGATCCTGGGTGTAACTACTGAGCCACCATGCCATCCCAAATATTACAGACTAAACCAAAAAAAATAGAAAAGTAAATGGAATGCTGGCCTTTATTTCTGCCAAGTATGGAATGCAAGGAAGAAGTTAGAGCAGCAAAAAAAAAATGTTACAAGTGCTGGGAACCTGACATAAAAGCAAAAGAAATAGCTGAGAAACCAAATGGGTCAAGAAGCTTCTGAGGAAAGAAACAGAGTTTCTGGTCAATGACCTGTCCAGTTTAAACATGATGTTGCAGCTATACAGGGTCCTTTTTAGACCACACCAAGAGTACTGCATGTTTTCAGACCTTACAAAGCTCACAGTCACCTTATACTATACCAGGAGTACACTGTGTGTGTGTGTTCAGACCTTACAAAACTCACATTGACCTTAGAGTAAGTGCAGCATAGATTGACCAGAATGATCTGAGACAACAAGGTGCAGAGCTGGATGAACACACCAGGCCAAGCAGCATCATAGGAGCAGGAAGGCTGAAGTTTCGGCCTAGACCCTTCATCAGAAAGACCTTTGTCAGCCTTCCTGCTCCTATGATGCTGCTTGGCCTGCTGTGTTCATCCAGCTCTGCACCTTGTTATCTCAGATTTTCCAGCATCTTCAGTTCCTACTATCTCTTGACCAGAATGATGCCTGAATTCCATTGCACAAGTTGAATAGTATTCTCTGGAATTTACAGGGTGATTTGATCAAAGTTTTCATGGCGTCAATATAGCAACATTTTTTTTTTGCTGTTAATATTGTAAAACATCCCAAAGCATTTTAATGAAGCAGTACAAAGCGGAATTTGATATCAAGACTCTTATAGAAAAAAGCAGATGACAAAAAAAAGCCCTACAATAGCTTCGATTGTAAGGGCTTATGTTTTTCCGAGAATAAATACACATTCTGTCAAAGCTTTTCATTTTGCACTCTTCAGGGCATTTTGCAAGAATACCAATTCAAAGGCAAGAAACAACATTTGTACTGCACGAGAGGTGAATGGTAATTGGTTGGCAAGTGGATTTTGATTTGGTAGAAATATTGAAATGGAGAACGTACCTATTAAAGTTGATTGACAGTTAACAGCCAGGCTTTGTTTACATTTTAAGTCAAATAGGTTGACACTGAGTGGTCAGGGAATTGTCCTAAGAAATGAACCAGCCAATGGTTGTCACCTATTTTGCATAGGTAAAAGAGGCAAAATGCCGAGCATGTTCTTTCTGACTGCAAACAAAGGCCTGTTTATTAATAGGTGCAACGTCTAGTACATGTAATGACAGCCCAAATGATAAACCGAAATTCTTTTTCAGTTTAATTCTCCCGTAATCTGGATTACCCAGCAAATGTGGTCCAATTGCAGAATGACAACAAATATTAGATACCGTGTTACAAGTTCGGGCTGGTCGGATGTGGTCAGTCACTTGCTGATGGGAAACGGCCAAGGCGATATGCTGTTTGATATGATCCAGTGGCCTTTGGAACATATGGCTGATGTACCTGGCATCACACTGGCACTGAAACTCATATACCACATCAACTAGTTGTGTGATCAGCAGAATATCTTTTTGGCTTGATGGCAGTTTCCTGTTAGCGGAGAAATCCATTCATGTTATTATTGCATAATTATTTTGCTAATCAACTTGTTCAGAGATATTATTACACACCTCTGGAGAAGATGGGACAGAAACTCACACCTCCTGGCTCAGAGATAGGGACACTACCACAGCACCACAAGAGCCCTTCGCTACTGCAAATGCTTTTTAAAAAAATTTCTTTGTGTTATTTTATTTTTACATCTAGAAGTGCACTTACACACAACTGACTGATCATTTTTCCCATCATCAAATCCCCATGACTGTTCTGTGTTTTTTTTCTTATTAACCGCACCCAGTAAATCACCCATGCAGCCAAATTAAACATTTACATGCAAAACCCATTAAAGACAATGCAAACCATCAAAAGTAGCGGGGGTGGGGTGCAGTGGTTGTAGGGAGAACAGGAGGAGACTAAGTCTAAATGGAATTGGGGAAATAAAGCACTGTAACCTCTTGCTGTGCCCACCTCCCTCTAAAGGTATCAAGATATTGATGGATGCCGAGTGCTCCCTTTCCAAAGAGCTACTGCACAGTAGCAGCCTGAAACAGATAGCTTCACCATTTTTTAATCCAATCGTGGGACGTGGACATTGCCGCTGGCCCAGCATTTTATTACTCGTCCCTAGTTGCCCTGGAGAAGGTGGGGGTGAGCTTCCTTCTTGAACCCCTGCAGTCCATGTGCTGTAGAGTAGACCCACAATGCCGTTAGGGAGGGAATTCCAAGATTTGACTCAGCGACAGTGAAGGAGCGGAGATATATTTCCAAGTCAGAATGGTGAGTGGCTTGGTGGGAGACTTTCAGATGCTGGTGTTCCCATGTATCCGCAGCCTTTGACCGTCAAGATGGAAGTGGCTGTGTGTTTGGAAGGTGCTGCCTAAGAATCTTTAGCGAATTTCTGTGGTGTGTCTTGTAGATGATACACACTGATGCCCCAAGATTCAGTGGTGGAGGGTGTGGATGGTTGTGGATATGGTGCCAATCAAGCGGGCTGCTTTGTCCGAGATGGTGTAAACTTCTTGTTGCTAAAAATTTGTTCAAAATAGATGATGGGTTGGTGGAAATTCAATCCAATTCACATGGCCAAATCACTCCTTGCTCTTTGTCCTTCTCTATGATAATTCTAAACTATAATGATATTATGATCACTGTTACCAAAATTCTCTGTGACTCTGACATTCTCCACTAACTTCAATTTATTTTATGGGACTAGATTCAGCATTTCCTCAGTTGCCTATGGGCAAGAAATGCACAGATCAAGTAAACTCTTCTGACCACTCTTCAAAAACTCTCCACCTTCTCTAAGCTTGATATTAAACACTATATTGCTCCATATTAGGGTAAATATTGTACCCAATTATCATTTCTCTATTGTTCTAGTATTTCTCAGTAATTACTCTGCAAATCTGCTCCTCCACTTCCTCCCACTAATGTGTACCCTTAAGTAACAGTTTCAGAGTGGGAATAACTATGTTAGTCTTTTTCGCAGTTATTTTTCATTTAACTGTCAGAAGTAACATGATAACCTGGGACGGCAGTACCTTGTGGGATTCAGGACTGTGGTCAGCAAGAGATAACTATGTCATTATCAGTAGTTCAGCAGTTCTGAAGACCTGGTGTGGATTTCAACTCCTTGAAGATATTCCTCCTGTAAAAGCTG